CCCCGTCCGGGGGGCCCGGGTGCCAGGGAGCCGTCCCCTTTTCTCTCGACTTTAAGGTCAGGTGAATAGTTTGTCAGCGGTTGCGGGGACCGGTGAAGCTAACTTTGCAGTCTGCTCGGTCCTCGTTATAAACGCAGCCTTAAAAGTGTCTTTAACTCACAGTAGAAGTTTCATTAGGAATATAAGCGTTTCTGCAGAAATGAACCACGTTGCTCTTGGCATAGCATAAAAGCATTGGGGCTTAAGTGCTTGGATTTTGAAAGGCTTTGATTAGTCCTGCGGACTATGTGCATCAGCACAATCTCCCTTTCCAAGGCTCTCATGAACCTCACAGCACGCTACGGAAAACATTTTTGGGAACATGCAGATCGCATGGACTTCCACTGCTTTGGTGCCTGTGGCACTTTCATTGCTGAGCAGCTGGCACTGAGGTTTCCCAGCTCCTGCCGACTCCCAGGGGTACGGAAAGGTGCCGGAGCATCATGCAGGGGGTGTGCAAGTTCCCTCTCGAAAACCCTGTCAGGAGGTAGCAGCAGTTCTCTGTAAGATGATGATATGGGTGCAACAGGTGCTCGAGTGGTTTCAGGCATGGGATAAACTTCTGTATGCTTACAGGGAAACATATTTGAATAGGTGTACTTTACTAAGAGTAAAGAATGTTAGTAGGTGCTAATAATGTAATATGAATATGTGAAATGTTTAGGATTATGAAGGCTTTGCCTCCTGTAAAATTTTGCAACATGTGAAGATTCAGATCACTTGAGTAGAACCGACAGAATGCACCAGTTCGTACCGGTTGTGAACTGGCGTATTATCTTTATAGTAAAATATGAAATATCCCCCTTTTTTTTTTGTACATGTTTTGTTTCTATTGAAAATATTGAATTAAATGGGATAAATTTGTTTTACTGTCTTTATATTTGAGTTGCTTTCTTCACTAAGTTCTGCTGTAGATGACTGTTATTCCTGAGTACTTGCGCTTATTCCAGAGAATTCATTTTCATTAGGAAAGTTGATCTGTTAGTCATTATTTAATTATGAAGTGTACTGATGAGCATGGCTGATAAGATTTGAGTTTTTGCAATAGCACAGCCTCTCCTACTGAGCTCGTAACAAATAGGTGTTCTAGTTTTCCTATGCTTGAGAGGCTTTTTCAGTCATCACTTCAGGTAATGCTCACTTGAGACTACTAGGGAACCTGTGACAGTCTTGGAAGGTGCCAAGTGCTCTCGTTTCCCAGAGGAATTGATGATACTGAGATTCTCAGATGCTCAGGTGACTACATGATCCTCCGTACGTAGCTTCCAGAAAGCAGCACAGAGTGAAAAATCACAGATGCTTTAAAAACAGCACTTTCGTCACTTCATGTGGAAGTTTTGGGCTTGATGGATGTGAAAAGAACTCGGCCAAATCCCCAATATTATTGAAGTTAAACCAAAAGTGACCTTCCCGTAAACTATCCCTAAACAAACTTCCTACCGAGAAGAATCATATAAACTCAATTACTAAAAAATAAACATGTTTGAAACCCTTCATATATCATTCTACAAACATAGTTGCTTTTCCAGATTGTTTCTGTGTAGTCTAATAAATTATGAGAAAAGACTACAGAGACTTTTTAGTGTGTCCAGTAACTTGTTTAAGCGTGGCTGGTTTAACCTGTGCTGTTTAAAGAGTGGCTTTTGGTAAGATTATGCATTTTAACTGGCCTTTTTTTTAATGCAGTGCATTCTTGTACATTAAAAAGAAAAAAGTCTCAGAAGATCCAGTGGAAGGTAGCTTGAGGGCTGTGGGCTCTGTATTCAGTAGAGGGAGATACTTCAGAGTGGACTAGGATTGACTGACAAAGCAAACCAATTTGACATGAACCATGTGGATGCATTAAGATGGATGTGATGCAAATACCTTGTCACTGTCAGCGATATCCATTTTTAAGAAAACCATTTTATATAATCCAGCTTGAAAAGGAACCAGGCTGAAGCTTACTAATTTTTTGCCTGGTCACGAAGCACTTGATAAAGTCTTGTAAAATCTTCTAGAAGCACAGGGAGACCCTTTGCTAAAGTCCATTGACATGGATGCACAGACATTATGCAAGTGGGATAACACACCTGTAAGGAAAAAATAAGAATAGAGATTTAACTTGGCTTTCATCAAGCATTGTGAGACCTGTTTAAAAGCTTCATTTTTGGGCTATTTTCTGTAAGTTGCTTTGCAATATACTAAAGGACAATTTGATACATGTGGAATAGTTGTATATGAATCTTAATTTCTATCTTCACTTTTTTTTTGGTGGCTGTATTATGGATAATAAAAAAGCAGTTAGCATCTTACTGGAGATTTAATTTCTCCAGGAGTCTCAGCCTGGGTATTGGAAAGTGCAGGCTGTTTTTTGAAAATCATAGTCGATCTTATAAAATTGTCTATAAAGGCTGTGCTGTTGGTATCTCAACAAGATTTAAGATGATAAAATTACATTCTTTGGAAAATGCTGTCTGAAATTAGGCTTAAAGCAGTCTTTGACCCCCAAATTGTGAGAAGAATGTAGGAGTGGCCAAGGATGGTATTGTTTTCTGTATTTTTTTTTGAGTTCCTCAGCCAGCTCACCTTCTGTGGGAGGTACAGTTTTTCACAATGAGAACACTCAGCCATTGGAATAATCTCCCCAGGGAAGGGGTGGATTCCCCAACATTGGACACTTTTAAGATTCGGCTGGACAGGATGTTAGGCCATCTTGTCTAGACCATGCTTTTGCCAAGAAAGGTTGGACCAGATGATCCTTGAGGTCCCTTCCAACTTGGTATTCTATGGTTCTGTGATACAGTCTATGCCTGTATTTCCATCCTTGTTTGTATAATCAATGGAGGTTTTATTTTCTCAGGAAAAATGGCATTACGTGACAACATTAATTGTACTACAACAAAGAACATGAACATTATGTTTTAATTTTAATGGTTAATACAAAAGTACAGACCAGTGTAAATCATCATAAATTGACTGGTACAGGTTAGAATAGCATCATGGCAATTTTGCGGTGCAATCTTGCAGCAATATTCAGGTTAGAATAACATCACTGCAGGCTTTGCAGTAATTTAGACCGTCTCCATTTGCTTCTTGTTTATTACTAATGATAGCATTGCCCTAATAATGTCATCATATTGGTATCCCGAACATTCATATGCTTTTCCTTAAGCTTTTTTTTTTTCTAGGGAATGGCCTTACACAATCATCTCTAACAGCTGCCTCTGACCTGTGATTCTAATTTCAAGTAAATGTATTACTTTTTACATTAAGTCTGGATGAGTTCCATTCAGCTATCTGGCCTTACACAATCGTCTCTAACAACTGCCTCTGACCTGTGATTCTCATTTCAAGTAAATGTATTACCTTTTAAATTAAGTCTGGATGAGTTCCATTCAGCTATTTTCTAACAGAAATTTCTCTATGTAAAAAAACTTTATTTTTGGAAATACCTGTTTGCATCTGAGATGATGCTGTTCTTTATCCGTTTGTAGCTAAACAGATCGAGTTCTGGGAAAAATGAGGAAAAGAAAGGCAATAAGGGAAATGGGAAAGCTGAATCTGTTTCTGAAGGTGGAAAGACAGCTGTGGTGTTTTCCTTGAAGAATGAAGTTGGTGGATTGGTGAAAGCTCTCCGACTCTTCCAGGTAAAGCTTACAAATCATTATGCTGACTGGACTGAAGAAGGCTACTGAGGTCAGGTTGTTTGTTGGTATAAATCTAATGGACCGTGGCGGAAGGAATATAGTGCAGTTACACTCTGCAGAATTGAGTATAAGTAACTTGAAATTTTATGGACCATTCAACAAAGCATTTTGGGCTTGTGAAGGGTTTTCTGGAATAAAGTTTAACAGTGAAGTTGATGATCACGCTATTCGCTGTAGATTTCCGACACGTATTTCTCAACACTGTAAATTAGATTTGGAGTTGTCTGTGCAGGCCACAGTGAAAGGAGGCACTTTCAGAGAGCAGTTCAGAATCTAAATTACATACAATCACGTAGTGGTGGCAGCCTTGCTGCAAGACAATGTTTACTCATGAAGTTAAATGCATCTGTAAGTGCTTGCAGGGTCAGGGCTTTATGCGTCTAACTGGAACGTAAATTGTGAAATATTGGTTCCCATATAGATCCCCATGCAATGGGTGGGTTTTGGTCAGACTACTGCTACTGCTTGTAGTCTGCTGGCCTTATTAATAAATTGTAGAGGGCTTGGAGGCATGTCTGAGGATAGTTAAAGCAGTATGATAAAAGTCTTAGGTTGTTCGGTCTGTGCAGTGCGGTGAACAGAAAGTTAGGAGGTGGCTTGGAGCCTACCTCTAAGGCCAGGCCATCAGAGGGTGCAAGTGTGTGAGCATGGGGCAATACCAGTCCTAACTCACAGGAGCTGGCCTTGGGACCAGATTCCCAAGGCTGATGTAGATACTTGGATTCCCCAGCCAAGGAAAAGGGGTGAGTTAGACCCACGGGAGGGAGGCTGCCAGGAAGCAAGGTGTTTGACAGAAAGAGGGGAAGCCTAAGTGAGCTGAGAGGAGTTGGAGAAAGAGTCCTGTTTTCAATGCAGCATCTCTCCAAGGGTTAAGTGTCTTAACTGCATCTCTGGCTTGAGTGGGTTCATACCTGAAATCTTGGATTTACACATCAACTCCCCCTTCTTGGGAATGGGCATATGACTCACAATGGGCTCTTAAAACATGGCTGGAAGATGTTGCAGAGATATCCCCCCCATTCACGTAGCCACTTAACAATTTGAGTACTGTGAGGGGGAGTGCAGGGCTTTGTTCTGTACTCAACCTAGGGCAGATCAGAGTGAATTTGTTAGGTGAGCGGGTTAGCTAAGGAGATATATCATATACATACCTTATGGAGCGTGGCAGTGAAAGAGTTACGTATGTATATCCAGAAGTGTGAAAGCAGAGACTGCTGGTTGGCTGTATCAGAGGGGGCCTTCATCTGAAGTGGACATTTATGTAAAATACAGCAGGAAGTACAGGCATGGAGTTCTCCCCATTTGGAACTCAAAAAAAGTTTTATTGGCTTCACTGAGTAAGTGAAAGGATGGTTGTGGAAAAGAACAGATAATTTTTGTCTGGCAAAAAAAGGGAAAATCAGAGTCTATAGAAGTATTGGCTGAAATCAGTCATCCAGTCCAAGCTCCTGCTTTGAAGCAAGGCTATCACAACGCTAGATCGGGCCAGCCAGAACACATTATGGTTATCTGTCGCTGTGTGACACCCTTGGCAGACCAGTAGTTGTGGGAGAGATACCCTGTAGGAAAGTTTTCATGCTAGAAGTATTTACACACTCACGTTTCTTGCATCGTTTAGTTTTGATGGGAACATTGTAACAGAGAATAAATTGAATTAGGTTTTAATTTTATTACAATTTTATTACTGTTAACACTTTGAGTTATTGATAATAAAGGTTGATAAAGAAAGATAGATGAGGGCTGACATACAGTGATCTGCACAAAAATATTTTCTTCATCATGTGTTCATAAGAGATACTGAAGTAGTACATGTTTAGTAGCATCTATTTAAAGAAGCACACTCAAATCTAGTTAAATTAACAATATTATTATGCACATTGTCTAATAAAATTGCATTAGAATTTCGTATTTATAGCAAACATAAATATAAAATTGCATTAGTGTTTTTTTTTATTTTTAAAAATTCCCATGTTATACTGTCCTCTGTAAGAGATTGTCTTGGTAGATAAAATTAAATCATTAGTTGATTTTCTTCATTAAATATAATAGTTTTATTTTTACTTTCACTATACAGATTTTTTTGTCATCAGTATTTAGTGAGTGTCACTAACTAGTTGTGTAAATACAAAGTGAATACTTTCAATGAAAACACCTTTTAATAACTGGTAAAAACTTTCTTGAGGAATATGCCATTGATATTGCCCTTCTAGCTGGTATGTCTGTATTTCATCCATTATTTCATCTTTCCACAGGAGAAACATGTGAGTATGGTTCATATTGAATCACGAAAATCGAAGAGAAGGAACTCAGAGGTGGAAATTTTTGTGGACTGCGACTGCAGTAAGAAAGAATTTAATGAACTAATCCAGCTGCTCAAGTTTCAAACTAATATTGTATCTCTCAATCCACCGGAAAACATCTGGACTGATGAAGAAGGCAAGGCTGGTTTTGTATCAGTTGGTTTAGACAGTGACAAATGTTTTGCGCAGGTATCTCTACCGTCTTATACTCCAGTACATTCAACTCACATTCTGTCTTCTACAGATCTCGACTGTGTCCCTTGGTTCCCCAGGAAGATATCTGAATTAGACAAATGCTCACAGAGAGTTTTGATGTATGGATCTGAGCTGGATGCAGATCACCCCGTAAGTGTAACACAAAATTGCCTTGTAGATAATGTGTTCAGTTTATTTGCCAGTCAAACAGAAAGTCTGTTGACTGCTGATTCCGAGTACTTTTTTGAGCATGTGGTTTTCAGAAGGTGGGGATTTAGTTTTCTTCAGTAGTTTCAGTGAATTAATTTTCCTTTTTTGTAGTAGGACACCCAAAAAGGAGGTCCTCTGGAAAACTTATCCACTGTTTAACAACTCTGTCCCCTTTTGTACTGCTTTCAGTTATTTATTTTTTTAATTAACTAGTTGATAGAAAGGTTTCAAACTCTGAAGAGTTTAGATCAGTGTGACCTTCGGTTCTGCCACAAGTAGCTCTTAGGTAAGAGTTGATACTAACCTAGGTGTCGGAGAGGAAAGAATTATGAAGGAAGACTTCCTTGGGTGCTGAGGAGGTAATTACAAAATAAAACAGAGCAACATGTTCCTGTTTCTGCCTGAATGCAGCAGATGGGAAGGTGTCTCACGTTGTTTCCTGACTTTGGTGACAAGAGACAAGCCTGTGTTTCACACAAGCTGTATCTGCAGTAGTGCCAAATGTTCAATGCGAAAGGTGGAAAAATAGATCTGTTATTCTTTTATTTCTTTTGGCTGATGTCCATAAATGCTTAACCTCTGAGTCTTCAGATGGCAGATGATTGCAGGCATTTGTGTTACAACGTTTTCACTTGTTATAAATCCAAGTTTCTACCTTTGGACCGCTTGGCTGAAAGATACTGCTGGTAGCTAGTTGTGTTCTTTTCTAAAATAGGCTGGATTAAACTAGTATTGTAGGAAACTTCCAGCTGAAAGGAAGTAGGCGATGAACTAAGATATCTGACCATAATAGTGTCTTGTTGTAGAATCAGATTAAACTCTGGCTGTAGGTGGTAGTCTAGTTTGATTTTTGTCACACACATTTTTGTTGGTATTGTCCAAGATGGTAAAAAATGACCCTAAAGGTTTTGTAAGTGACTGCAGAAAGATCACTTGGGTCTAGGGGACTTTCTAGTGATGCATCTGTATACGATGGTACTACAGTGCCTGTGTGGCCTCCTCCCTGGTGCCTGCCTTGGCTGAGGAGAGGCTGGTGCTCCTGATGGCCCTGGATTTGGGGCTTGCATCGGTGCAGAAAGGGCACTCAGACCACTGTCTTCTCTCCTGTCTGCTCCACAGCTCCAACAGCGGACGTGCTGTGGTGGGAGCTCAGGTAGAGACCCTCATGCCTGTGCACACCAGCAAACGGACATTGTCACGATGTCCCCTGACAGCCCCACTTCCCTGTCTCTGCTGTCGGCTGCCCACATATCAGCCATGATGGTCATCGTCACCTCATTTGGTTCACAGCCATCTCTGCCATGTGTGAGCCCTTCCCACACTGTGGGTCCACAGTTGGGGAGCGTGTTCCTGGATCCTAGTTTCTGCCATGTACTTCTTGATGGATGACAAACTAGGATTTACCTCACGTTTTCTCAGAATGGGAAAGTCTGTTGATTACCTTCAGCCATTAACAGCAATTTGGTTCAAACAGAGCCTGTAGTGGCAGCTCATTCTAGCCGTGAGTCGATGACTGTGACGGGCCATTTGATACTGTTTTATGTTCTGAGCTGGTGCCTTCATTAAATACTTGAGTGCTCTGCTGAAAATCTGCCTTCAGTTTTACAGACAATGAAAAAAGACATTTGCATTATATGAATATATATTTTACACTTGGGGAAACTCTTATAAACATAATTTACACACCATTTGTTAGCCTATGCAGCATGCTGGGTATTAGAGATGGGGGGAAAAAACCTGTAAAATCTGTGACTGGCCTTTCAAAGGCCACTTCTGGTGCCTGCCCTGTTCCTTAGTGGTGGTGTGTAGGTGGCAGAGGACCAAGGAGAATTACCCTATTGCGGAACCAGTATAGCACCACATCGACAGCATAGCCCTAAACCACTCCATACTGGCTAATGGTTTCAGTCTCAGTTTCACTACTGGTGACAGGCTTTTAAATCCCCTGTGCTGTCTTCCATCACTTTTCAGCTCTTGAATCGTCTGCAGCTGAGTAACTCAACGCTTATGTCAAAAGGTATTAAGCAGACAAGGAGGCTGCCCCAGATTACAGCCGCTTTTTGCCAGTCAAAAAGCTTTTCTGCGTAGGAGTGGAGACTTGAAGATTTTCTGCAGTCCTCTGACATCCTCCCTTACTCTGCCCCAGCAGCACAGCTTTGGTTATGGGGCAGTAAAATGACTTCTGAATTTTCTGGGAGCTCATACAAATATTTCAAATCGAATGATGTTATTTTTTTTCATTCCCTTCAGTGATTTGTGTTTGTGTATGTGAGCAGTAAGGAAAACATGCATTTTACTTTTCAGCTCTGACTAGGGGAAACTTAAATGCACTTTCTGGGCTACTAACTGGGGGACTTAGATAACTCTTTACCCTTTTTCATCTTCAAGAGGTTGGCAGTTCTGCCAAAAATAGATAACTCTTTTTGTCGTCCAAAACCTGAAGTGTCTATGTATTTTATAGGTATAGAAGAGATTCAAATTTCTGATTGGAGCAATATGTGTATTAGCTGCTGGAGGCTGCTGGTTCAGTCCCTAATGTGTTGGTTAAGCTGGCAACTGCTGAAATAGCGTCTTCAAAATGAGTTGCTTATGAACTCTGGGCACTGGATTCTTCTAGTGAAGAAAGGTGTATTAAGGATAGGTAAATTATTCTGCTTTGCACCTGTGTGTAGATCTCCATTCAGATTAAGGAAAACCTGAGTGAGATGGAATGGCAAGGAAGAAGTTCCCCTTTTTCAACATCTTGGTTGAATGTCTGTACCTATGCACAAATCTGTCTTGAAAAAACTCCTGTGGGACTTTGGTGGGGGGAAAAAGTGAAGAAATCCTTATCTTCTCTTGCAGTCCAGTAGATAGTGTTAATCAAAATACAATATAATTAGGTACTAAATAAACACTTTAATGATTTATTTTACAATTCTTACAGCTAATTTTCTGTCCTTATTGTAAATTACTCTCTTCTTCCTTGCTTAAGGGATTTAAAGACAATGTCTATCGACAGAGAAGAAAGTACTTTGTGGATGTTGCCATGAGCTATAAATAGTAAGTACTGGCATAATTCTTCCCTGTGCTGCTGACTAGTTAGAATTCATGCTCTACTTAATTCTGTAGGATGAAGTTTAACAGTAGACAAAGTCATCCTTTAAACTTTGACTAGTTTAGTGTAGGCTATAAATGACAAACCTGATGCTTGAAATCCCGTTACATTTTCGATACAGGTACAGGCAAGTAAAGCATTTGAGAGGTAAGCACTGTCTCTTCAGTGTTTTATTCATAGCTCCTTAAATTTAAGAAACTCTTTTACAAATGCTTGTGTATCTTAATGACAAACTGATGCACTGCTGAATCGCACGTATCTAGCATACCTAGGTAGCTGGACGAGCTCACTAAAAACTGAAATTAGAATTTCCTTTTCACGTACTTACTATACTGGACACTGCAAAATGCCATTTATCAGTTTTGCCAACACAGCTCTAAATTTCTCAGAATTCAGTCAGTGAATTTCTCTGTAGTTAGTGGAGCTGGTACACTGCATATGTTTTCTCATCTTGATTTTTCTGCCTTCCCCCAAAAACCGCCTTCTCAAGTTAGTATTTTCAATTTGCTACCGTCCCTGGAAGTTAGGAAACTTTCTGTGCTACCTACAAATACCTACTGTGTTGCAATTTTCTTGTCACAGAAGCATTCAAGTAATTCTAATCATATTCTAGGTTTTATTTGCAACAGGCCTAAGCCCTATTCTCAAGGGAAAGAACATACTAATTTGATGTTCTTTTCCATTTTACCACACTTCTTCAGGTGTTTCATTTTTCTCCTTTGAGATTTCTACCTACGTTGTTTAAAGAATAAAAAACACAACAATTTTCTCTCCCTTTGCAGAAGGCACATCCTGTCAGGAAGCAATTCAAAAATGGATTTTTGAAGGTTTTTCAGTTCTGATTTTTTGTTTTTATTGTAAGACTAGTACATGGGCTGCAGAAGGCTGAGGGGACAGGAAGATTAACTCTGCTTTGTGTCCATGTAATCCCGATTGTATTTCTCCTTTCCTTTTGTCCCATTCCTGCCATTAAGCTATTACCATTCTAATAAATGCGTAAGTGGTAGTGTTGGTTCCCCTTTTTTCTCCCTGCGGTGGCAGTTGTTTAACTGGGTGCTCATGACATCCACCCAGCACACGGAGCTGCTGCCTTCTAGGGACGGGGTGCTGGTTGGTAGAGAAGCTCCCTAGGCTGACCAGGTAAGTCCTAAGTGTAGCCAGCTTTCACATGTAAATTGAGACAGGTTTTTTTGTTTGTTTGCTCGTTTACAACTGATGGATTTATTATCTTTTTTTCAGTCTAATGCTTGCAGTAAAGTTAGTGCTGCTTGCCTAGCATTTATTGCAGTGTGCAGTGTCAGGCAGGTATCTGTGGATGAGGGCAGGCTGTGTGTGCTGCTGGAGCTCTTTCAGTAAGTCAGATAGTTCTCCATTTACCCATGATGGTAGCAGTAGTGCCATGCATTTCACTGCTGCTGAGTTGCTGGAAATATCTTCCTGACTTCTCCCTCTCAGCGGCCTATATACTGGAAAGATCATGCAGCTGACTCACTAAGCAGTGGCTGGTCTTCTACAAAGGTGTTTGTTTTTTTTTTTTTTTTTCCCTGAAACCAGTCAGAAATGTCTTTTCACAAAAATCACGTAGAGTGATCCTGCATATTCCCAGGAAAACAGATAAAGGAGAGGAAAAAATCTTTACCTTCTTTAGATTTTGAAGGCTCAAGAACCATTTCTGCAGGCACATTACAAAGATCAAACAACCCAAACCAGAGGTTATTTGGGGGCCAGATCTTGTACTTCAGCAAAACTGCTCAGAAGAACTCCTTCATCCCATTGATCTTTTCAAACGTTTAAAAGATTTCAAACTCTTCCTTTTATTGTGAGCAGAGGGAAAACAAGATGCTTCAAATATTTTTAGCCAGGGACCACAAAATGACTGGGAGGCCAGTGCTTAGGGCAGTTACCTAAGATGTGGCAAAATCTTGTTCATACTCCTCAGGTCTCCTGCAGTGGTTATCTTAACCCCAAAGATGTGCCATATCTGCTGGGCTATACAGTCGGTCTGCCTCCAGCTATGCCTGCAGAGACAGCCCAGGGAGACGTTTACCCTCGGCATCCTGCAGCTCAGCCGAAGCCATGCTGAGGAAAGGCAGATCAGCTCAGGGGGGTCTCTGTGCTGCTACAGCTACGCTCTTTCTGCTACCCATGCTGGGCAGCTCAGAATTAATATAGGTGTCTTGACACTGCATTGCAGTCTCATCACACTCTCTTCTGTGGTCTAATGGGTATTTACTTATTTATACAAAAAGAACAGCTCTGTTGTAAGGATTGCTTACCTTAGGGATAAATTCAGAGCATTGTCTTGAACCTCTCAGTGTCTTCCAGGTAAGTGACCTTCCTAATCAGTTACTGATGCTTGGTCGGATTCTACTTTTCATTTTCCAGTGTAAAAAAAAGAACAGAAAACAAGCCACACTTGTTTCCTTAAAAAATAACAAAGAGATTTGGCTGCAAAGAATTGGCTCTATGAAAAAATTGTTGAGTTGAAAATCTCAGATCAGCATTTCCTTTATGAATTGCTGCTGTTCTATAGTGGTAGATGCTTTGCTTTGCTTGAACATAAAGAGGCCTCTGTAGTAGACAGAGAGAGAGAAAAACACTAAGAAGTGAGCTTAGAGGAGCAGATATTTGCCGGTGCTGGGTGTTGAAGGGAAAGACATGTTAATAGAGCACAGCATGAAGATCAGCTGTATGAAATAAATGGACCAAAAAAAATTATTCCTCCCTCCTTCACTTAGCTTATATCCTAAAGATAGTGAAAATGTGTTAATCTTGATAATTAGTCCTTTGAGATTGATCAGGGATTGAAAAAGTGTTGAGAAGATTAAATCTGGAGGAAAAATATGGTGTTTAAGAGGGAATTCATAATATGAGTTGATAGCTCATGACCATGGCAAAATGGAAAGACCTTATTTTAATAAGGGGAAATAAAAATTCAGGATAGGTTAGCTTGTAGAGTCATCTTACTCCGCCACAAGAAAACTGGCTATGCAGGCTGGCCATTTCTGTGATTTATTGACATGTTTCAGCGCAAGGTGGGTCTTGCTTGCTGAAATAAGAGGGTGAGAAAAATGAGATTTGCAGAGCTGAGTGAGAAGGGCATAGGTCCTCCCGCAAGTCTAGCTGCCTTGATCCTCTCAGTAAAGAACGCAATATCATGATCAGCTGGAAATAAGATCAGCTCTCCTAGGCATAGATCCTATTAAGGAATTAATGTTCAGTGAACCTTACTTCAGTACTAATGAATTAATTGAAACAATAACTAAGTTATAAACCTTTTAGTGATCAGTGAACAAGCTTCACATCATTGATTATGTTTATACCTCTCTGGTGACAGGCTAAATAGTAACCTGAGTTTTTCCACTGATGCACACATTTCTTCCTCTTTGCCAGGCCAGTGCTGGCCCGTACTGGCAGTATCCGTAGTACAGGTCAGGTGTAAGGAAAAGGGACGAGGCTACTGCATGGTATTCTGGCAACCCTCGGTGGATGGAGTAAGCAACTTGCTTGTATCTGTCATGTACAGTACTATCTAGAATAGCTGTGGTATGCTTTCCATGAGCTGGCAGGCAGCTTAAGGCTGATAAAGTGTAAACGTGAAGACAGATACTGGACCTGAAGGACTGACTCCTAGCGCAGAATGGGCATGGACTGAGTGCAGCTTCTGTTGATGGGAAATGCTTCACTAAATGTGTTGCAATTCTTGTTGTGTCTGCAAGAGTGGCTGAAGGGGAACTAGAGGATGTACTGGATGTTCGGGGAGTCTTTAGCAAGTATGAGTACCTCATACCAAGCAGCTTTTGACTGACAGATAACTGCCGTGGATCAAAATCCTTTGATATAGTAAAGGCAAGGGGATTAAATGGTAAGTTTTCAGTAAAGATGAGAGGACAGCCACAATGAATGTAGGGCAGATGATCCTCTTCTGCATGTAGGGGCTGCATAGCAGCAATCGCTCGTGACAAGAGGGGCTCATTCCTTGTTACCTCATATTGTGGAGCCAGGATTATGAACCAGGCAACAGTGGAGGTGGGGAGCCAGCCCCTAGCAAAAGCCCAGCACTTCATTTCTCCTGCTGCAGTGGGATTCCCCATGCCCCATATGCCCATTCTGCTGGTGTCTGCGGTACTGGGGAAACTGCAGCACTGGGCTGGGAGCGCCCACGTTGCCAGCTCTGTGGCAGGGGAGTTGAGGATAGGGACTGATGGGATGGAGGAGGATCCTGTGAATCCCTTTGACAGTCTTTTTTACAGTGCAGGAAAATAGGATACCTGAGGAGAAGGCAGATTGCACAGATTGCATACTGGAGATTGTGAACATTAAATCCAGAGAAAGATTATGAAGTTTCTAGGGGGAATTAATGATGTGAGATGATGGCTCATGACCATGGCATGGGAAATTCCGTACAGCTAAATACAAGGCAGTGCAAATTGGAAGGAGCCCTTCACACTCTTCACACTGTCAGTCAGTTTTGAATTAGCTGTAACCACTCAAGGCAAAGCTTGGATGTCAGAGGCAGATTAGTGAGTACCCTGGAAGGCTCCTGCTTTGCAATTTCTGTACATCTGTGTAAGGGGGAGGAGGCAGAGGAATGGTGCAGAAGAAGAAGAAAAAAAGGTGGAGATGATGTATTTAGAGGCTTAGTTTCACCTGGGGTAGGCTGTTGGCTCTGAGGTGAGCTTCCTCATGATGTAGTCTTGTGTGAATTTGGGGTTCCAAACATATCTGCACATGTGAGCAACAGTCTAAACAATAAATATCTGTATTTTAATTGGATCCACACATTTCTAAGCATCTATGTAATTGCCTAGTCTTCACTTTGTAAAATGCTAGGTAACGATGCTGTGTGAATATTATGCATTTTAAAGAATGCATAGAGCATGCAATCTGCTGGTGGTGTTATGGAATCGACAAGTTAGCAATGAGATTATTTCTTAATCTTTCTGCATATCATAGCAGAAAGATGGATTTCTTACATGCTGTGTTGCTATACCAGAGTTAATATTTCTTTGTTTATTGCCACTAATGCCTTTGCAAGTGGTTAGCTGAAGATCTTGATTAAGAAGAAAGATAGTTCTTAATAAATGATTGTAATATGTACCACATAACATCAAGAAGTAATTCTAAGAAAAAAGCATCTGGCTGTCATTTTGAAATAATTTTTAATAGTTTTAATAGTCTCTATCTGCCTTTATTTAAATAATACTTCTCATAGAAATTCTGCCATCCACAATCTGTCTAGAATCTGATTGTATTCAAATGTATTTTGTATTATTTTATTTTTTACAGTGGTCAACCCATTCCCAGAGTGGAGTACACAGCTGAAGAAATTAAAACATGGGGAGTGGTATTTAGGGAACTCAGTAAACTCTATCCCACCCATGCTTGTCGTGAATATTTAAAAAACTTCCCTCTGCTGACCAAGTACTGTGGATACAGAGAGGATAATGTACCTCAGTTGGAAGATGTTTCTATTTTTCTTAAAGGTAAGATTCATATTTGGTTTGTCAATAGATACGGTTTCGTGAAAACACTCTTTTTTGTTACTGTGAAATACAAAGCACATTGAAAAGACTCCCAGCATCATCAGTGGACTTCCGTTTAGCCTGAAGTGTCACTCTGTTTTTGACATTCTCCATGGCAGGGAGTTTGTTGAGTCAAGACAGTTTTATATATGTATTTGCAGCTATGAAGTTGAGAGGAATTAAACAGCTGAACTTGTATCACACGATGTTACCTTGCACAAGGAGAAAAGTCCTTCAGTACAATGAAAAGAAGGAAGAGAGTCCTCTGCTCTTTGCCAGAGGGTGGGATAACTGCAGAGGGCATCCCCCAGACCTGGGCAGGTAAAAGAGGGAATAAAATGGCAAGATAACTGCATTTAAAGAGGAGAGCACGTTTGGCACATTGTTGAGCAGCCTGATGAATATGAGACTTTCCTGACTGCTCAAGACCTCATGAAGCTAGTCATTATATTTGTATGTTGAAAAAAATCAATAGGACTCCATAGGTCATCTGGTACTTCTCTTTCATGTTATTTTTTAAGGGATCAGTATATTACATATTTAAGTTTGAAAATACCCTTATTTTTCATCTGTAATGGAAATGTATCCCATATGAAGGAAGTGGCAGACATGAACCTGCTGTTTTTCACTCTAGAGGAAAAGCCACCAAAGAGTTTATTTAAGCTTTTCATTTCTCCGCAAGGGTCCCTTCAGATACATGTGCTTGTTCCTTAATCCTCTTGCTCAGGAGCTTCAGGAGCTCAGGAACTAAAATATTACAAAGACAAGTGTTTGGAAAAAAATGTTACGTGCTGTCAAGTGTTACGAGAGAATTAGCAAAGTGTTTTGTCCCAAATATGTATGGAAAATCTTTAACTAAGAGAAATACAAAATTTGTAATGAAAGGCTTACTTTCCCCAGTCCCTGCTTCATCTGTAACTCTTGTTTGTGAACACCTGCGTTTACTAATAACTGACTCATCAGTCTTTGAATTTGGTTATGTCCTTCTGGGTCTGTCATACATTGTATTATGGTCTCTAAGGAATGATGCCAAAGTGTACAGGTTCTTTCTCACTAACTAGAAACTCAAAACCTCACACTTCTTTCAGAAATATGTTTTCAGCAGACTAAATACAGCAATAGTAGTGTCTGTTGAAGAAAAACTTGGAACATTCTCCTATAAACACTTGGAAAGAGTAAAGAATGAATTTGGGGGAGAAATGTACTTTTCGGAGTCACTGAGTTTGAAATTATTCCCCAGTGGGACTAATCTGACAAAGGAACACTTTGTTACATATTTAAATGAGGATCTCAACTGTGAAAGTCAGTATTTTACTGTCACAAGCAATATTTTATCTATAGAAATAAGGACCGATTTGATTTAATCCTATTCTGTTCTGTTAGTTTTTAATGTATTTTACAGAAATCATCTTCTGTTTTGGAAACTTCTCTCCTGTTTGGTACCAGACATAAAAATCAGATACTCTGTGTTGAGAACATCAGTTATACAGTACCTTACCATCTTTTGTAGACAAAGGTGTTCAAACCAGCTTTGAAATACCTCCGGATGTTTTCATGAAACATATGCTAGCAATGCAAAATAGTTCTTGTACATAATAGGTGAAAATTAGGTGTGGTGATCTTCAGCCATGATTCTCTGTGTCCTGCTTCTGGTAGAATAATTAAACACAGATCATTACCTGTCCTCAGAAACTGATAGAGTGATATATATAATATGGTCTTTTATTATCTCCTTCACTTCAGAAAGGTCTGGCTTCACAGTGAGACCAGTTGCTGGATACCTGTCTCCCCGAGATTTTTTAGCTGGCTTAGCATATAGAGTTTTTCACTGTACTCAGTACATACGACATGGCTCAGATCCTCTCTACACACCGGAACCGTAAGTTGCTGCATTTGCTTTAGTGCTGAAAAAATATGCTCGCTAGATTCTTGAAAGACCCAATTGAATTTGCAAAGATTGAAAAGAGGAACCTTCCTACAAATGTAAAAATCTGCTTATACTGTTGATGGCAAAACCTTTCACGTTGGTGACCCAGAATTTATTTCAAAGGCTTCTTTTGGACTTTTTACAAGGGTCTTAAATAACTGAGTTAGTTATATGGTGGGTTAGAAATTTCTGTCTGGGTTATGTTTCAGTGGAAAATGGAGTTTTCAACTAAACATTTTGAAAAAGTGTCTAAAATTTTATTTTCTGTTGGACAACTAAGGAGAGAAGTTGGGAAAAAAGCCCTGAATCCCCTGAAAAAAATTGCTTTTAGAATTAGAATTTGGTCCTCTCGTGTCCCCATTTATCTTTTTTGGGCCAGACTCCACAGCTGAGCTTCATTTCTCTCCTGTAACACAACGCAAGCAAGTCATGAGGCACTATTCTCTCACCCAGAGAGGATATTAGATATAAAGCCTGTTACAGGAAACATGATAGAAATAAGAGATGCTTTAATTATGACTTTCATGGGACAGCATTGTAGCTTTTCCAAAACAGAATACTGCGAGTTTGGATGAAATATTTTGGCATTTGGTCTCTTGATGAAAAGTGGGGGAAAAAAAAGATCGAAGCGATTGTAGTTCTTGTCTTGTATTATATATGGTGTGCTCTGTGCAGTAATAACAGAACAATACATGTCAGTTAGATAATATGGAGGTAGTTTTACCAAAGGCGTCCGCTGATCTTGTAACCACAGAAATGACATTTTCGCAGTGAATCAGTCATCAGGCGGTTAGCATGAAATTGTGGCTGTTGTTTAGTTCGCTTGGACTATTTGAGTGTATTTTATTTTTGCCAAAATTTACACAAAGTGTTCATACATATATATTCAGCTCCAGTCCTGCAAACATTTGGACCTACGCCTGACTTTGATTTCATGAATAGGCTGCCAAAACCATGGAGTAATATTTTTGGATATAAAAGGATTAATGGAACCGCATATTAAGCTGTATCTAAAAATGCTCCGACATTATTCTGGCAAGAGTCACCAGATGGTGCTGTTATACACTCATCTGCTTCCTCTTTTCCTCTGCATGTGAACTTGGCAAAGTATTTGCTGAAATGCTACGTGTGCGTGTTTCTTTTAGGAAAGAGGTGGTAATCCCTGAGGGAATTCGCTCACTTCTGTAACCTCTGTAATTAGAACTTTCATCTCTTAAATTTCTAGGCAAATTGCTCCAGTGTAAAATCCTGAAAGAAGGGCTTGGATATATGATGCTGGACCTCTTCTGGTCTATCTGAAAATAACTGTTGGTATTTCAAAAAAAGAAATTACACTTAGGAAGTAGCACGTTTTGCACCAATGATTTCCTCTCCTGTGGGAAGCCAGTGTGTCAGATTGCAGCACCTGCCAATGTTCAGCAAAAGAATGATTACATTTATTAACTTAATACAAACTAGAAGAACGTTTTCATCTATTGATAGGGGATTTAGGTACATAACTCCAACAGGAACAAAGGAAGGAACATCTTCCAGGACCAAAGGAAGGAACGTCTTCCAGGAAACAAAATTAAGTGCATCTGTGCTTTTGCTGATTTTCTCTGGTTCATTGATTTGTATATTTGAGACACCTGTAGTTTTCAGGATGCTGCTTACATTCAGAATTATGCAGTGGATCATAGCTGATCCTTAGTAGTAATGGCAACTACTTTTTTTGTAACATTTCTGGTCATAGTGTCTGGAAAGTCACTATGTAGCAATAATAGTTCAGTTAGAATGGAGACTTTTATTACTTATTTGGGCTGAACGTATAAAAATCCAGGTTATGGTCTTAACACCTCTAGATATGACTAACAGAGGAATTAAGTTGTCATTTTCTAATGATGTTACTCTCTTCTTGCAGATCTACTTGTTCACACAAATTAAATAATATGTACTATCTGGAAAAAGGTACCATAGGAAAATTCTGAAAATCCCTCCTCCAATGTGTTTGATTTTTTTCATAGCATAGAGCATATAGTAACTGTTACCAGAAACGTAGAGTGAAATCCTGGCTTTTTCTGAAATCGATGGCAAAACTAAATTGACTTAACTGGGGACAGCTCTTCATCTTCCGCAGTAGCTACAATGCCCTGAGATCTGCTGGTTGATATATGGGGCCATAATGAGGTTTACTGCAGGTCCCTGGCTTGGTGAATGTTGCATTTCAATGATATAAACCTGGTAAAAAGACTCCCTTTGACTTCAGTGGGCTTTTCATCAGATTTAACTCTCAGGCTATAGTGCTAGATACAAATTAGAGAGTTCATTTGGTTTGATCTGTATCACTACTATATGCATTTTAAAACATTTCTTCCTGAGTTTCATTATGTTTCTACTACATTCACAGAGCTATATAGATTTCCTCTGCTCTGCTAACTAATTTACTCCAAGAAAAATCTTGTGCTGTGAAAAGTGCATTACAAAAATCTTATTTTCTCTGAGCAATGTGTGTGAATAAATTAAAGGAACTTAATTATTTTTCTGAATAAAACAAAACAAAAGAATCAAGCCTTGGTAGTTAAGTGAAGAATTATATCGTTTAAACTATCTATAAAGGACCAGACTGGCAGGGAAATCTAAGAGACTCCAATGACAATTCCAGATGCTCGTTCATGGTTCTACCTGGAAGATTTTGTGATTTTTCATTTTTGGGGCTTCTTTTTTTGTTCATATGCTTTTTGTTTCAAGCTCCCCTCTTTATAACTGCATGTTCAAAGTACTCCTTTGCATAGTTTTAATGGAAGAATCTACAAGCTAAAAGCATGAGAGAAATACCTTCTGCCTCCTCATCCTCCTCCCCTTGCCAGGAGAGACAAGTTAATGGGGCTAGGCTTTGTCTGTTCTCATTTTGTCTGCAAGGGTGGAAGTGACACAGAGAGCCTGCGTCCCAGTGCAGAGCTAGGAATAACACGTCTTTGCCTGGTTGTTGCTGGGAGTTGTGGCTTCGGCACGGGAAAATAGAGATGCAGACACTCGCTGAGGTACCAATAGTCATGATGCTCCTGTAGAAGGCTGCCTGGAGACAAACGTGCTTACCTGAAGCCAGGAACTTGAAGCCAATCCCACTATATCTTCTTTGCTCTTGTTATTTGAACTACTGATATAAGTTAAATATATCTGGACTGATGCAGTGCAGTGTAGGTGAAGTGCTCAGCAACCAGCGTTGGTTTCTTCAGTGAAGATGCAGATTGGAGTTAGAGCTCTGGAATTCCAGAAAATGGGCTTTGTGGCCCATTTCTGTGTTGGAAGGTGATGGTTGGATGAGTCAGGTTCCTCCAGTGAATTGTTCGGTACTGAGAATTCTCTGGGTATATCTATCAGCCTGCAAACGCCATTTCCCTACTGTCCTTTGTATCATTAGTGAGCTAAATCTTGCAGGAGATGACAGAAGAAATTGTTGTGACTGGAACTGAATTAATTAAAGAAGGGTCATTAACCTTTGTTGATTATCCACTCAAGTGATGCAAACCAGCTCCTGAACAAAGAGTTGGATACCGTACAAAGCCAGCCAATTTTTCAAGTCTGAGCTCCAGTGAGGAAAGGAGTACTGTCTAAGCTGTGGGTCTGTGGTAGGGAACTTTGATCATCTCGCAAGACTCAGAGCATCACCAAAGGGATGTGGAGATCATAAAAGAGAAACCTTCTTACCAGCCACTTTTGAAGAAATCAGGAATTTCCCAGCCTCTGAAAGTACACGCAGTGATGTAGAAACGAGAGAAGAAAGATCTCACTTTCAGGAGGAAAGGCAAGCTTTACTAGGCAGTGGAAAACAAATGCAAACAATTTTCCTTATGATGTCTGATACTGTTCCTGGCTAGCTGTACATATCAAACATGTTTCATGGGTATTGACTGAAGATATTGGCGCACAGTAAATTTGAGCACTCGACCTATATTGCTACAACTGAAATCTCTGGCAGCATCCGTGGACCATATTTGTTTTATCGTGTCAGGCACAAGAGTATCTGCTTACCTCCCCCTGCTTCTTTGGGAAATACGTATGTCTAGGAAGGAAGAGAAATGAGATTTGGTAATTCGTCTGTGCTGTTGAATGAATTACTCGTATATGAAACTGGCTCGAACTTGTCATGCACAACTTCAGAGCCGTGCTTGTCTCACCAAAGAGTGTGAATGTAACATCAGCAAATGTTGCTGAGCATCTGTCAGTGAGGCCATCTGGGCTGAGAAGAGGGACATATATGTAACCCTCTACCACTGGAACTGTATTTGATAAACTTTTGGTGAAGAGAACTAGGAATGCAAAAAATGCTGACCTTCGTTTGCATGTGCTCAGGAAGTACTATCTACTACTATCTACCTAGACACAGTTGGTGCAGGCTTCTTGGTGAAGACTACTGAGTAAGGAGACTTTATATAGGGGGTTGTTTTTCTGTTCATGATTTATCTGAAGTGTCAGGTTCTGTGTCTTTTCAAACAAAAATAGTTTATAAAAGACAAATTGGATGATTTTGGATAGAAGGCAGAAAACTTGATGTTTTCTCTCTGCCTTTAAAACATTTGTTTACAGCTTAGGGGAAAAAAAAAAAAGAGAAATGTCTTTGAAGAGACAAAAGCAAAGGAAATGTCAGATCCGATTTTTAAAGTGAACTTTACTACTAAGTCCATTATTTTCTGTGAACAAATGCACCAAAACTTTCAGAATTGTTTGAGAGCTTTTGTAGATGATGCATGTGCACTTTTGTTAGGTTGGTTAGCGGTTTTTTGTACACTTAGGTCTGCACTTTGTCATGACTAATAATGCACTTAACAGGTGTGGACAGCAGTTCTTTCCAAAATGATTCGGGTTCTCTGCCTTTTCTGAAGTCTGCTTGGCGTAACAAAAGTGCCCAGTAATTGCAGTAGGAACTCAGGACTAAATGAGAAATTAAGCACACAGAAACGTCTGTAAATATTGCCCTGAATTTCTAGTGGCAAGTGGCAAAATGTTTTGTTGCGGAGCTGTACCTAGGTGCAAAAAGGGGAATGGAGAAGAGAAAGAGGGAATGTGTTGTGTTGGATTTTGGAGAGAAATGCTGAAAACTGTACTTGTGAGACATCTGGCTTTCCTTTGGGCAGTTCGTCTTCATGGTACTAAGCCTGGAAGACAGCAGTGATCAAGGCCTTGCCACTCAATCTGGAAGTGGTGAGGAAACCACGGCATAGGTGGGCTTAAAAGACATATAACCCATTTAATAGAAGCAAACGTGTGTGTTTCTACAGAACCATATGCAGGGAAGAGCTACTACGCTGTAAAAAACATGTTTCATGGTAAGACTTTTAAAGTAGATGTCAGACCCTTGTAAAATGGCTTATGTTACATGAATTATGGAATAATTACGGCATTCATTTCTGTAATGATTCTCTTTTCGTTTCCATTCCCTTAGGGATACGTGCCATGAACTCTTGGGACACGTGCCTCTACTTGCTGATCCCAAGTTTGCACAGTTTTCACAAGAGATAGGACTTGCTTCACTGGGAGCATCTGATGAAGATGTTCAGAAATTAGCCACCGTGAGTCAAAATCTTTTTGTGGCATGCTCTCTCATCTGTCCTCCTCTTTGGTTGATGAAGTGACGTGCATTGTCTTATTAGAGCTGACTGCATTTTCAGGTTGCAGATGACTATGATGTGACAGTCACAGAGCTTTAGATATTTTTCCGTTGTTTTTAATAAGAGTGAAGCTGAACACAGTAGTCTTCAAGTAGTCAGTTTTACTTTTTACATGCAATAACCACGAATTTTCAGGGCTAGCTGAGATGGATTTTGTCTACTTTAAGGTGCTGAAAACAAGTAAGCAAGGTAATTAAAAAAAAAACCCAAACCAACGTTTTGGTGTGTGTCCTCTTGGCTCTACACTGTTAGCTCCTCCACAGGTGTCCACTTCGGCTCTTGGCACTGCTATTTCTGTGCTCACTGTTCTGTTTTGCAGCTGTTCCCTGTAGAGTAGTGTGTGATGGATTTTGAGATGATGTTGCCTCCTTACTACTGCTGCTGTTGGAGAATATGTAGTTACTAAGCCAAGGCTATGCGGCAGTCGATCTAGACTGAGGTCAAGTGCCTCAGCCGGTGGCTGTGAGATGGAGTCTGTGTTACATCAAATGAGGCACATGCCAGTAGATAATGTGAACTGGAAGAGGTTGCATATTAAAGGTGTTTGATGCTACTGACCATCTGCATGGAGCCTTCTTGGCCCTTGTGTGAGGGCCCCTCAGGTTGTGCTGAACAGCCTTGCTGAGTTGCCCGTACCCTGAGCTCCTACCTGCCTGTCAGCCCTGCTGTATTACCATTTCCAAATAACTCCTATGCAGCCCTTTGCATCATGACATAGGTTAGTGACCCCTGGTCTATACAACTTGCTCTGTTCAATTGTTTTAACTTACTGTAGGCTTCTTGTGGATCCTGTTAAAACTGCAGTGCTGCAGTTGCAATTGCGAAAACTGCAAAACTGCAATTGCTGCAAATGGTGCAAATAATTTAATGAACTATATTGTACTAAAAACCAACTACATATTTCAATATTTTATCTCATGAAAAATTCTGTGAGATCCAGCGGAAGAATTGGCTACTTTAAAACTTATCCAGCAGACTACTGCTTTTCTGCGCAAGAGGTGCTGTGGGGGTTTAAAGAGTTGGAAATACCTGTGATACAGTGTTGAAGGTGGATTCAAACTAGGTTCAATTAAACTATTAGTAGTTTTGATGTGCTGGCTTCACAGTGGCTTAGAGTCCCATCTGCTGAAAAAGGCGTTTGTACCCATTTGTTTGATTTTAATCCTGTAGCCCCACAGAAGAGGCAACTAAATTTATTTAATCAAACTGGCCTCACTCCTTAGATGTCTTGCTCATGGCCAGTTCCTCTCACATGCTTCAGGGTGTGTTCCTTGGTTTTCTAATGGATGTCTGCTGAGGAGAAACTGTTGTTTGCATGGAGGAATCATGAAAGTTTTGTGTCTGTTTGTATATTTACTAGGAAGGGACCTTGTCACGTACCTGCAGCCTCAAGAGAAACTACCTAACTGGTTGTCGCTGTAGGTGCTTTGAGGAAAACAGTATGTCCAAGTCTTTCACCCCAAAATAACCTTGGATGACATGAGCCTGTTGCAGAGGACAATGTTGGGACTGATCTGTTTGGGGAGAGATACTGATATAGAGTGACCTCTGAATATTATATAAATGCTTTTACTCCTCCCCCGCACACAAGTTCCCAGTTATGACTGACTGTGTCATCCGAACAATGAGCTGCTCCTGAATCACAAAGCCAAAAATAAAAGAAGACAGCTGAATCACTTTCCCTTATCACACTGAGAATTTGATATCTGAGTCAAAGTTGATTTCTCCTCCCATGCTGGAAATAGCTCTTTCAGGTGGAAGAGATGTTTAGAGAGAGACTTAAGGTAACCCAGGTGGTGTTATTTTTTGTAGAAACACGGTGAGGGGCTGTACTCCCCTGGGATGGGTGCTTGACAGACACAGAGATGTTACTTGCCCTAAAATTTACAATGTAAACAGTCAACTTGAGGGTAAGTAGAAAGAACATCTCTCAGCAGTGAGGGTGAGGAGGCCAAGCAATTAATTCAGCTGAGCACCAAATGTCACCTGAGGTGCTATTAACTGACTTCTGCAATGTTTGGTCCCATTTCCATCCTAGATAAAAACCAGAGATGCAGCGAGCTGAGAAATACCAGCCAAGAGTCTTAACACAGAAAAGCAGTGCAGGTTCCAGCCAGGAAACTTCAAAGTAAATAGAGAAACAAACGAACAGAGAGAGAACGTGCATATTAATGAGCGTGAAGCAATATGCCCAAAGCAAGCTTGCCATTAGCATGACCCGTTTCAAAAGATAGTGACATTAACAGCTGAGCCATTACAGGGAGGACAATCGCTTTAGGAAGAGAGGAAAACACCTCTTAGGAATTCAGACCAGAAAGGGAAGAGTTATTACAGATGATTTCATAATCTTTCGCTCCATTCTGCTCTCAAAAGCCACTGCGTATCGGCCTTGATGGATCTGCTCTTTGTGTCCCATCAGTCCTGAGCTGCAAAGGAAACGTGAGGACGTTTTTGTCCCTGCAGAGCTGACACAGTGGATGTAGAGCAAGCTGGAGCCTGGTCCCTGCAGACCAGAAGTGTTTGCTAAATTGCGGTTAGTCGCATCTGTGCAGCCCCACTGAGGGCAGGGATTAAATGGGAAAGCATTGCAGAGGCCCTGGTGCTGGCCAGCTGATGGGAGAAGGACGGCTGCAGGGGAGGAGGGCTGAAAAGGAAGGAATTGTTTGAGTCTTGTTTGAGTCTGGTTGGGGCAAGGAGGAAGGAATTGCTTCTGCTCCTTTTTAAATTTAGTAATTCTTACCATGGGAGTGGAATATTGAAAGAGCCAAAAGACTGTCTTTGCAGTTGTGTGTTTTTTTTTTTTTTTCCACAGAGATGCTATTTCCTTTACAATGTTTTAGGAGAATAAGAGAGAGAGAAGACACAAGAAACAAATAACTGAGAGATATGTTACTGAAACAAAACAAAATATTTGCACAATCCACTTTTTTGCTTGTAGTATGGTATAATGCAGTTAGTCGTTGAGGAAATACAATATTGGCCATGCATGTCTGGGTGCTAATTATTATCATCATCATCATCTCTAATGTCTTGTGCTACTCTGTGTGACCTTCTAAAAACACTTTTGAGTTGATTTTTCAAGTATGCCTGTTCTTTCTGCTTTCACACAGTACAAAAATAAACAAAGACTGTATTTTCTGCTTACCTATCAAACCATAAGCTGTAGGGAGGACTTGACATGAGGTGTTTCAGCTAATTTATATAATCTATCATTTACAATATGTTTAACAGCACATAACGTAAGGTTTTGTCAGGAAAATTGTGCCAAAAAATACGCTTTAGTTTACGTTTCAGTCTTACTTTGTAATTTGTGTACTTGGGAGCCAGAGAGCAGCTGTCTTTGTAAAGCTGCAAGTTGATAAGCAGGATCCCATCCCTCTTGCTAATGGCAGAAATGACTCCCGGCTCCTGATGAGTTGTTTCAGCGCAGCTCAGGTTGTCCCTTCATGCTGCAGTATGTATAGGATGTGCTTGTGTGTATCAGATTCAATGGGGCACGTTAACTGGTGGTGGTTCAGAAAAGAGTTTAGCAGAGTGTCTTTGTACATAGTTTGTCACTAAATCTTTACACCCAAGAGTTTGGTCATTAGGACCTAATTAGTCACAGTAAGTTTTTTCCCAATTGTTTCTTACTGGAAGTTAACATTTAAGCCTTCAGTTCTCTAGAATGGCAAAATTGTCACCTTTTCATCTTGCTTGATAATATTTGTTCGGGTATTTTAACAGCGTGGGACAGTAGAAATCAAGAAATTTCTCTTGTTTTGGTATCCTTTGTGTGCAAAACCACAATAGTGAATTGCTTCTGAATTTGAAGGAATTGTGTGTGATGAGTTCTCGTAAATGCATTTCAGGCTTGTTATGAATCTAAATGTTTTACCTTGCCAGAGTGATGACTGAGACCAATGGTTTATTTCTAAAGCTGACTTTAATTTATCTGTGTACGTATCACAAACAAAATATTTTAAAGATATATGCTGGTGTAAAAACAACGTTCAGAACCACCTCTCTGGGAGAAGTCAGTCGTAATTCCTGTGAGCTTACTTGACTGTCTTCTCTCAGGATCTATGTTATCTGGTTTTGTTGGCTTCATTCTAGTTCTTCTCCCACGCTGAACAACTGGCACATCATTCAGGACAATTACACATTATGTTTGCTGAGGAGACAACCAGAATGGAAGAAACAGGAGCATTGCAGATAAAGACTCGAGTTGCATTTGGTAACTTAGGGTAGATACAGAGTTTGTGGTATCACTAGACAGAGCAGACTGTTGCAGTCTTCTGTCTTCATGAACAACTGATTAGCTTTCCCAGAGGGGCTATTTGATACTGCTAGGCTGTAAGTACAGCTTGTGAACTGGATTACTGTCTTCCTTCATGAATAAACAAATGGAGCCAAGAACAAAACTATGAAAATATTTGAGATTTTGAACATTCCCACCGTGCATCTGAAAAATCAAGACTGCTTGCATGTTTCTCATTTATAGTTGCAAAATGATAGACAGTGAACTAACCACTGTTATAAGTCTGTGGTCAGCTCCCTGCTGAAGCTATTCTGCCATATAAAACTAATTATGTATTGGCCAACTGAAACCTGGCATTATAGCCCAAGAGATACAGCAGTCACCGAGCATATTGAAGTTTAACATTCAAATCTCTGCTCAGCCTTTTCCCCGTATCCCAGTTGCATGCCATGGTTGTGTGACGAATGCCAGGAGTGAGCACAGTGAGTACCTTAAGTCCAGCGGTGACATAATGGAGTTTCTTGCAAAGGAGTCGCTTCCAGCTACACCTGTAGTTAATGAGTAAGGGAGCTGCAGCGTGAAGAGCAGGGAGTGAATATGATTGAAAAACTGCTTGAGTAAATTTTGATGGACTTACGGGAGACATAGAAAATGACATCTG